GGAGTAATTATTTTCCTTGACTGAAACACATTTCTTATAATTTTATTACTACAATGTGGGTCATAAATACACTTATCAACCAAAAAATTCGGCTCCCTTTTTACAATAACTTCAAACGATAGATGACATTTTATTAAATGAACAAGACCATTTGGTATAACGTCAGCTTTAACAATTGTAAGAAAATCCGTTTGAACAACAGGGAAATTGTATTTAAACATGAAATCATACTAAGAATAAATCTTCCCTTGTGGATCTAGTACATCACAAAGATAATTAATACCTTTTTCATGCCAATTCTCAAGAAAAATCGACTTGTTCTTTACTAAAATACTCTCGTTGTTCCATAGCTTCACTTTATATAAAGTTAAAGTAGTACAGTAACCTTCAACTTCGCATTTTGCGTCAGCTGTGTCAATTTTAACAGACCTTTGCAAACGGCCGAAAATCACTTCAGACAAGGTAACTTAACGTTAGCGTCAGGATGCAGCACAGCGTGAATAAAACAAAGTAACTGGATTTAGGCTCTTGCACAACAAACGCAAGCAAACGTGTGCATTCAATGTTCAGCTTAGTTCCTCAAAAAGTACATTCGATTTAATAAACTCAACAGTAAACCATTAACGTTAATGGTTTCAAAGTTGTGGCTTTCCTTTAGCAGTTTGCGAACGCCTAAAACGCGACCACTTCGACTTATGTCAATCATTTTATACGGCACACATTTAATAGATAAAGCCTGCATAAAACAAACGTTTGACAAACACTCACCACTTCAGGGTATATTCCGCTTTTATTTCAGTGTAGACCAACGACATCTTGGCTTCTGATCAGCCGTCGACGAGGATTAATGGCGTAGAACCGAAAATGGATTTTCACCCCGTGATACTTAGTTTTAGAGAACAACTAAGTTACAGTTATACAAAAAAAAAAAATCGAGAAAACGAACAACTTATATATGCGATAATTAAACGAAGAAATTAAGAGATACCTAACTAAATGCCACTAATGTTGTTTCGCGCCTCGTTCTCGCGCGTTCAGCTGATTGGCTCATTTATGGTCAGGCGGAAGTTCATTAAAAGACGGAGGCGACAATATTTAACGAAGTTAAACTCCTAATCCAGTGCAAGATATTTAATTATTAACTATTAAAGTAGCGCATTACTATACGTATAAAATGGAGAAGCTGTAATCAAATTAATGCCAGGTGAAAAATATGGGCTGCATCAGGCAGTTTTTTTACTCAGCTCTACAACTTCAATTTTATCGGATAACCAAAAGCATATAAATGCAGTTACTGAAAAAATTGCAAACGGACTATCTTTAAAAAAAAAGTAATATACAATATATGAACTTATATGCAATATAATACTGATTACCAATGAAATGTGAATCCAAAATAAAATGTTTATCAGTAAAACAATTGTTTATGATGTATTTTAATTTATAAATCTTATCTGATTATAACTAGTTTTCATGTATAATAAAATGTGCAAATAAGACACCAGTCAGTTATACTAAAAAAAAGAAAATCACTGATTTAATAAAACAAAAGCTGTTGAACAAATGCCATTTTATTCAATATTAACAGAAAACTCATTGAAAATGACATAAGGCGAATACATAAGACTTCAGGCCAAGTAATGAACACTGTTCAACAGGTATTTTTTGTAAAACAATCATGACTTAATGGGGTAAAGTAAGAAGGATATGGGTGCAAGACAGAATAATAGAACAACAGAAATAATAATTTTAAAATAGTTTCTATTTCGGTGGGTCCGTGTTTATCCCGTACTTCTCTTTGAGAAGTTTCAACTGCTCCTCCTTTTTCTTTGTGTCCATTTTTTGGAAAGCCTTGGGGGGAAAAAATTAGAGTTAACATTAGAGTTTTGGATCACACTCAAAGTTAACGTTAATAAAGGAACTGTTAATCCATAAATGAATAGTTGACAATAGTCACTGTTTTCAGTGTATGAAAACATATGTTTTGGACATTCTGCATAATATCTTCCTTTTGTGCTCCCCAGAAGAAATAAAATTATAAATGTTTGAAACAGAAATGCAGTAAATGACAGAATCTTAATTTTTGGTTAACTACTACTTCAACATACAATGAAACATCATGAAAACATTTTAATTTCACATACGATAAAGTTAAGTGTCCAAATCAAAGGCAAATCAGTTAAACTCACCCTGTTTGCATTATAGTACAATACAACTAAGTATCTGTTGCAGACGTTGAATCCAGAAAGGTGATCACAAGCATTTTTGGCATCAAAGATGTCTTCATATACAACATAGGCTGTTCCTCTTGTTTCTGGTGTGTTCCCACTAAAACAATCAGAGAACAATAAGATACTCAGCTTACAAAACGAAACATGATTAAATGGAACATAATCAGTACTTCGGTCCATCAGTGTGCATTATGGATAATAGAATGTAAATGTGAGAAATACACTGATACTCACACTCTGATTTGACGAATTGGCCCATACTTTCCGAAGATGTCATACATCTCCTCTGCGGTGATCTTGTATGGAAGGTTACGTATATACAATATTCTGTTCACCTCTGGAGGTAAACGAATCTGAAACATGCCAGCAAAGACAAATATTAACATACACATACATTAAATGTTACAGTTTCAGATTAATAAAACACAAACCACGCAGCCATTTAAAGAATGTGAACGTTCTCAAGTGCTTCGAATGACATTTAATTATGAAAGAGGATTTAATGAATTCCAACATGGACGCATTATGGTAAATGTTTTGACCACATTTCTATATTAAGAGAAAGAATTCGAGTCCAAAATTTGTATAAATACAAAAGCAGATGTATATATTTTAACATACAACTACTTGTCTGTCTTAGAGGTAATTGATCGCGTTTATACCAGTAAATCAACAATAAACGTCGATCTCTAATGTACTGATTAGCCATTTTGAGCCCAACTCTACCAACATCACGATCATTTGAACGTTTGAACCAAATCTGTACTTACATTCGCTCGTTTAGCTGCTTGCATCGCCATGGTTGGATCTCTTTAAAGAAAATAACTCAAACTTTAGAACAACAACAAAAAAACCTTTACAAGTAGAAATAAATAGCAGCTAGCACAAGCTAAGTAGCGGCGCACTGTACTTCACAATGTTTGATGGCGCAGTGCGATGACGTCCTTCCGGGAAGGCTGCGGCCAGGTTCCTTTGAGGTGACGTCATGCGGCGATTCCACTCGTTTCATTATAAAAATATTAGATAAACAAAAGTTGCTCTTTTTTTGGTGCCCCTAGCAAAACGGGACATAATATTTACGTAATAGTTTTTGTCCTTGTAAGCAATTATTTTAGATAGATTTATTTGTTTATCAACCTAAATTTGCTTTTGTTTTTTTTAAAGATGTTATTTGGTTCCTATAACGTGAATAAAACAAGAAATTAATAGGCCCACTTTATTATTAATCTTTTATTGCTCCTTGCCAAATCTCATATTAATCGTAGTAAATTCAGTCATCGAAGACCCTTGCTGTTTTTTATTGATATATCTAAACTATTTATTCTTCAAATAACTCAAAATCTATTAAGACAATACACCTGTGCTGCCTTTTAATTTATTTTGTTATAGACTTCAATACATATTGCCGAGATGTAACATTTTATCTTATTTTTGTTTTCAATTATTTTTAATTTACTCTATTAAATCTGTACATTTTAATTTGTTCTTTATTCATGTATTTTTGTAATATCTTGGCTATATAAAATATGTGCTCTCTAGGAGCTTGCGTTCTGCAAGTGAACGTCGCTTTATTGTGCCATCCCAAAGAGGCACAAAATCACTTTCACGGACTTTTAAATTAACTGTTCCCTCCTGGTGGAATGACCTGCCCAACTCAATCCGAGCAGCGGAGTCCTTAACCATCTTCAAGAATCGGCTAAAAACACATCTCTCCATCTTTATTTGACCCTCTAACTCTAGCACTCTCTATTCTAATTGTTTAAAAAAAAAACTTGTCCCTTTTAGACTGGCACTCTATTCATATACTACTGCTTGTTTTCTTTAAAAAAAAACTAACACTAGTTTTTCTAATCTTTTTGTATTCTATCTATTACTTGTCCCTTTTAGACTGGCACTCTATTCATATACTACTGCTTGTTTTCTTTAAAAAAAACTAACACTAGTTTTTCTAATCTTTTTGTATTCTATCTATTTGTTTTCTTTTTATTTATTATACAATTAACAAAAGCAAGAAGGCCTCTAACACTAGCTTGCCCTATTCTTTTTCTATTCTATCTGTTTTCTTTTTATTTATTATATAATAATTATAAAGATTTTGATTGCTTCCATTGTCCTCATTTGTAAGTCGCTTTGGATAAAAGCGTCTGCTAAATGACTAAATGTAAATGTAAAAGTACAATATCTAAATAGAGAGAAATTCTATAAAATAGTTAATACTTACCCATTTTTCACTTTAATAAACGGAACAATTCATCCATCTGATCGGCAAATAAACAACAAAACCACCAAAATCGGCGTGAATGTTTCAATATTTAGTCGCTCGTTTTATAGATATGTATATATACATACCATATACATATCTATGGCTCATGTTCTACGAATTCAACACTCTGCTGCCATCTAACGGACGTCTTATGTTATTACAGCTTACATGTGCTGTTCAGAATGATATGGGTCATTCCTGTTATGCAGGAATTTCATTACTTCAAGTGGATGATGCTATGTCCACAGACGCTTCTAACATGAAATCTGACTGTTTTTGCAAAATGATGTTTCTTCATTCTCTAATTAAAATGATAGCTTTCACCTTCCTCCTTAAATTACAGTACAAGGATATTCCTTCTTAAAAGTTAATGCAGAACTACATAAAATTTACTCATCAGTACCGATATGTGCTGATAAACAAATTATATTGTAATTGCAGGTAATACATTTCAGTATCTACATGCTCCAGTCCTTTCAAATCAAACTCTGACATTGAGGAAAAAATCCCATATACTCTTTTATTAGTTTAAACCACAACACAAGAAGTAGTGCAGCCATGGCATCAGGGGCACAATACATGCTACATGTACAAAATAACTTTTAAATTGGAAAAAGTTTGCCATTGCATGAATTTGGTGCGGTGCCTACGTAGGTAAACATTACAATGACAAAGGTTATGCTTGTGTAAAGCTCTTGACACTGGCAGAATGTACTTTCAAATGGAGCACAGAAATGTGCGTATTTAGAAATCGAGTCGGTGCTCAAAATGTGCAGCTGGTGCAAATGTCTGGATTTAAAACAGTAATAACCTCAGGGCTAACCTTTAAAACCCTCTGTTGGAGTTCTCCTGTAAGAGCAGCATGTAAAAAGTAGGAATAAATACAGTCTTAGACGTTTTCGCTGTCAAGAACGAGATTGAACAGGTACATTTTTGAGGCAAAATCATTATTTTATATCACTTTAACCCTAAAAATGATCTTCATAAATTCATTCCATGCTCAGGCCCCACATAAATCTGCACACTGATATGCAATTTATTACATCTGATGACATTCTGAAACTGCACAGCTTGTAGGTTTAATATGGGAATATTTTTTATGGCGTAATATTTCGACCATGAGAATGAATGTATGCTCTCAGATGGATTACATTCGGCCACATTGAATCCCTCTCATGTGATGTACATGCTAGACATAGAAGGTGTAGTAAACTAGCCTTTTCCCATCAATGCATCACAAATCTTTGCGAAACCAACAAATTATCCATCTAATTCCATTTCACATCTCAAATGTTTCTTTTAAATAAGGCTTGTTATCATTCTTTATGCAGGATGCAAATGAGGGAAGTACTCTTAAGGCAAACCTAATGGCATGCAAATAAACTACATTTATATTCACCAACAGTACAAGCACATTTGAAGGGAAAAGTTAGATGGACATGAGCTTATCTTTTTGTCCATCCAGACGAGTGGGTAAATCCGGAACAGTTACGATTACCATAAGAATCGGTTCGGTTGACATTATGCAGTATATGGTACACATAGCTAGCATCAGTACAATAAATAGTAGCTCGATTTAATACAGCACATCAATGATGCGCAAGCTCCAGTGGACTCAGAAGGTACTTTGCACACTCTTCACATTTTGGCAGTTAATTTTGACAACTCAATATATATGTATATTAATATTCATATAATTCTATTTGTGCATGGCATGGTCTGTGTGTGTGTACGCTTTTGAAGTGTATGCATGTATGTGTGTGTGAGAGTGTATTTGTGTGTGCAAAGGTGTTCGTATGTGAAATTCGTTAGCAAAGAACATTCTCATGCACACAAGTGTTTCAAACACAGGAAGCGGATTCATTGAAAGGTAGTCCAAGCAATTTTTTTATCAGTGGAAATAGCTGCAAACTGAATGGAACATGAATCATTTGTGCAGTCCCTGGCTCTTTTCCGAGACGCTCATTTTTGCAGGTCACACTGCAGCAGTAATACAATGGACGGGTCACCCTTTGCTGCTTCTTTGAACTCTTCCAATGAGATCTGGTCGTCGTTGTTCTTATCCATCTTACTGAAGATTTTGTCGACCCGCTGCTCGGGCGTCAGGCCGTCCTCATTCATCTTCATCATGATAACAGTCCCCACCATCTTGTAGATTGCCTTTATGAGAAAAATAGAACAAGGTGGGTTAAAATCCTTAGAAGAGTCAAAGACACACTGAGCTGTGCCGCTAATACAGGCAACTTTTTTTTTTTATTATTATGAATGCAAACATCACAAAGATGACATTAAAGATATACAACTTTGTATAAAGTACACAACATTTATCAACAATATGTATAATGTCATCTGAACATACAGAAAAAAAAAGAAAGAAAGAAGAAAAAGATAAAGAAAAAATTAAAATTGGGAGAAAGGAAAAAAAAACATGAGGGTAAGATATTAATTTATATTTCAATTAGAGTATACAAATTAAAGTCATTACAAATTGAAGTTGTTCTTCTCGCTTTCTTATTTACAGAGGATGAAATAGTATTAAGATACATTTTAAATTCTTTCAAAAAAACTAATTAAAACTAAAATGTAATTAATAGTAAATAAATGAATGCAGTGTAATGTTTTGATTAATAGAATGTGTACTTAAAGAATATAAGTCCTATTAATTAATTAAGTATCGTTAATTAAGCGAATAATATAAAACATAAAAATAAACAGGCCTATACTATTATTAATATTAAATTAATTATATGCAATTGTAAGATGCATACTTACAGTAACCTAAAAATGTGTCCGAGGCTTTGTTTAATTATAGTTTTAGGGGGTTTTCCGTCTTAAACCAGCGAAGTTACTCTGTAACTGTAAAGGAAATACCAGCAGCAGCTCACAGCTGTAAAAAGACATGTCATCTACGATTAGTAGAAATACACCTCCATTTCAAGTCTAGGCAGGCATCTCACTAGGTTCTAAGAGTTTTACACGGATTGGAAACGAGAATGTTTTTATTCTACGTGCTTTCCAGTGTTGCCAAACCCCTCCCTCCGAAAATCGCTAGAACCACCCTCAAAAGTCTCCATTTTTCACAAAAAGTCGCCAAATATGAAAACAAAGTAAATACAGGTAAATTTGGTAAAGGTAAAAGAAAGTAAATATATATATATACACTTTACAAATGATGACAGTATAAAAAAATATAACAAAAGATTAAGTAGAACAAAAAATTCTGAAGTGAAATTAGGAAATGCTTGTCAAATGCTGACTCAGCCGGCGCAGTTTCTTTTTTTTTTTCTTTTTTTTATTATGAATGCAAACATCACAAAGATGACATTAAAGATATACAACTTTGTATAGAGTACACAACATTTATCAACAATATGTACAATGTCATCTGAACATACAGAACAAAAGAAAAAAAAGATAAAGAAAAAAAAAAAATTGGAAGAAAGGGGAAAAAAAACAAAACATGAGGGTAAGATATTAATTTATATTTCAATTAGAGTATACAAATTAAAGTCATTACAAATTGAAGTTGTTCTTCTCGCTTTCTTATTTACAGAGGATGAAATAGTATTAAGATACATTTTAAATTCTTTCAAAAAAACAAGAAAAATTGGTTTGTTGTTGGTGAATTTACATTTATGGATATAGAATTTGCCAAGAAAATAAATTACATTTATAACAAAACAAGCTTTGTTTTTATTAGAATCAGAATCAAAGTGTCCAAAAAGAATATCTTTAAAAGTAACCAATAAATCTTGTTGGATATTATCTTTAATAAAAGTTTCAATATCTTTCCATAGATGTTCAGTATAGAAACATGACCAAAATAAATGATAGACAGTTTCTGTGTGAACTTGGCAAAATGAGCCTCTTGTATCAATATTGGTTTTATATTTAATCATAAAATATTTAACAGGGTAAAATGTATTTATTATTTTAAAAGACACTTCTTTTACTTTATTGGTGAGAAAATATTTTTGTTGTAAAGACCAAATCTTTTTCCATTTTAAATTTTTAAATAAATTATTCCAGTAAAAGATTGCAGGAGATATCGAGATAATATCTTCAATAACTTTGGCCAATGAAAGCTGCCATGGATTCCAGAACTTCAGCCGTCAATCTGAAGGTCTGGCTACGGGAGACTACTCAAATCCCAATCCCTTTTTTGTCAACTCTCTCTCTGACCATGAGAGGGCGACTCACTCCATATATTGAACCACAGTTCTCAACTTCTAGGGAGGCCTCAAGATGACTTAAAATAAGGCAAGACAGGAATTAAAACAAACCTAAACAACTAAAAATCAAGGTATTTATATCCAGGATTCCCCCAGTCTTGAAAAACATAAAATAATTTTAAAAGTGAGATTTCTAGACCTGGAAAAGTCATGTAAATTAACAAAATCATGTAACTCTATGGTCATTTTTACAATTAATATTCATTTTTCTAGTTATGCCAAGCTCTAAAATATTTTATTGGGTAGAAATTGTGGATATGTAAAACATATTTTTAAAAATACTTTATCCTTATGCAGTAAATCATAAAAACTAGAAAAGTCAGTGGGCCTTTAAATAGGGGGCCTCAAAAAGTTTGAGAACAACTGATATAGAATATATAATATATATAGCTTATTCAAGAAGACTGATTTTGAATGGAATTTTAATTAGTAAAAAATTAAAGGGGTCATATGATGCGATTTCAAGTTTTCCTTTCTCTTTGGAGTGTTACAAGCTCTTGGTGCATAAAGAAGATCTGTAAAGTTGCAAAGACTAAAGTCTCAAATCCAAAGAGATATTCTTTATAAAAGTTAAGAGTCAACCACGCCTGCCTAAAACGGCTCGTTCTAACACGCCCCCACACTGTAAACCCGAACAGTACTACTAACTTATAAAGATTAAGAACACTGCAATTAAAGTCTGTTAAATCGTTGATGCATAGAGGACCTACAATAATGTACAGTATTTGAAAAATAATGTGTTTTTTGAACATTAAAGCATGTCAACATATTCTGTTACACCAAATACACAAAATAATGATTTTTAAAATAGCATCATATGACCCCTTTAAGTAATCGCCAAGTTGAAATAATTCATGAAATAAGAAGTCTTTTTAGTAATTTATTGCTTTATGCAAGTAAACAGAAGAACAGACTGAATCGAGTACCTCAATGATCTCGAGCATCTCAACTCGTGTGATTTTGCCGTCTCCGTCCAGGTCGTACATGTTAAAGGCCCAGTTAAGTTTCTGTTCGAAGCTGCCTCGTGATGTGATGGAAAGGGCACAGATGAACTCTCTGAAGTCGATGGTGCCGTCTCCATTCTTGTCGAAGGTTCTGAAAGCGTGCTGAGCAAACTTTGAGGCATCACCATAAGGGAAAAACTGACAAAAAGAGGAAAACAATACAATTAATCAATGGCAATATATATTTCTTGTTAGTGTTTTTTAAAACATCTCTAAAATAACAAAAGCCTGGTCCTTATTGACAAAAAAAAAAATCTAAATTAATTTCAAGCTACCCCTCATTCTTAAAGTCCCTGAGCTTGATGCAAAGAATATTTCTGATATGTCTGAAACACTTTTTATAGAAATACACTATTGTTCAAACATTTGGGATTGGAAAGATACACACACAAAAAAAGATATTAAAACTTTTATTCAGCAAATCTGTACTAAATTGACAAAAATTGACATTAAAAACATTTAAAATGTTACAAAAAGTTCAAATAAATGCGGTTATTTTAATTCAGTGAAAAAAAGAAGTATCACAAAAAACAGCACAACTGTTTTCAACATTAATGCTTTGAACAGTAATGGCTATTGAAAATTCAGCTTTACCATGACAGGAATAAACAGCATTTTCAAATATAAAATATATTAAAACTTTTTTGATTGTAATAATATTTCATAATATTACTGTTTTCTATATTTTTGATCAAATAAATGCAGCCTTGATGAGCATAAGAGACTTCTTTCAAAAAACATTCTTACCAACTCCACACATTTGATCTGCATTTATTTGAGCAGCAGAGTTAAACAGTACTGCATATTAGGAACGGTATAATAATAATCACATTAAAAACCTGCTTCATTTTAGTGCCTTTTCAACTATCATTTTGTTGCATCAAGCTAAAAACAGGAACTTCACAGATAGCTCTATGAATGCATGAAATTTTAGTGGTGGGTGGGTGAGCGTATATATGTATGCGCCTGTTAACTAAGGCCATCAACGCCCAGCACAGTGCCTGCCTCTTTGCAGAAGAGGGCTGCAATGCGGACGTGAGCAGTGTAATCGGTCTGTGCCTCTACAAGACCAGCACACAGCTCCTCTTTGAAGGAGGGCATCATTCCCCTCCTAATACTGTTACCCTCTCAGTGACTGAGAGCAAAAATTACATTCACCTGTTCCCAATGCAGTCCCAGCCAAAGCGCTATTTGTCACCTATTGTGCCCAAAACACCACTGATTTCCAATCTAATGAGCAACAGGCGGGGATAAAGGGTTTTTATGCTGGCGCCAAGCTGCAGAGACTCAAAGAAAGTGAAGATTTATAGGCACCATTGACAACAGATATAATATATCATGTTTTATAAGCCAAAAAGCAATTGCAAATACACAAGAAGGTCCTTTTTGAGCAAAATCAATCGATGAGAATTGCTATTTTTTCACTAGATATTTGAGAAGCCAGTGTAAATGTTTTTAAACGTTATCTAACCTCACATTTGAGCGTAGAGTTATTTGACTGCTAAATATTAAACGATGGAATCACTGGAGTGTAATGGCAGAGCTGAACTAAGCTAATAATAAATTCTGAGCACTTAGGAACAGATGCCACGCTCAAAGACTGGGAAATGATGACACTCTCATAGTTTTCACCAAATGAGAGAAAAGAGTGTGTGTGAGAGTGTGTGTGCGCCACAAGGACGACAAAACCTGGAGCAGGTAACTGGGAGCAGAAAAAAGTTCCTCAAACGAAATAATAAACATACTAAATAATGTATATAAAAATGCAGAAAGGCTTGTGTGTTTAGGGATTGAGATAGATGATAGAACATGTCATTAGCTCAGTATAAAAGCAACAGAAGTCAATGGAAAGTCCCCACCACGACATTATGTGTATTTCAGGGGGTTTAAGAAGGTTAATGATGGAGTTGAATATTTAATAACCCTCTATAAAGACGGATTAAATGTTTTTCAGGAGCCAACAGATTTCCCAGAATGCGCTATTGAGAAAAGATATTTGTCATATTCTTGATTTACACTCTTCTTCATCTTTTACAGGACAAAAGGGTCCATAAGTAATCACATAACATCATGTTTATGCTAAACAAGTTCCTGTAAGCTGCATTTAACTTTATTTGGTTATGCAAAAATGCAAATGAATTCAATAAAATCTATAAATGCTAAAAGATTGATTAAATCTTTTAATCTAAATTAATTAAATAATTTCCTTAATCAGTTTTTGGTCTTGTGTAAATATCTTTAAAACAAGATACATTTCCATTTACCAAATGTAACAAAGTTCATATACAGTGTTGGTCAAAATTATTAGAACACTAGTATTTTCACCAGCTATAAGTGGTTTTAAGTCAGTTATTTCTATCTTTTGCTGTAGTGTGTCAGAAATATCAGTTTATATTTCCAAACATTCATTTTGCCATTAATTGTAATAATCCAGTGAGATTTTTGTCTGACAACAGCCAGTGCTCCACACAGAGATCAGTCTGTCTGGAATGACACGAAGAAACAGATCAAACTGAGACAGACTAAATCCAGAAGAACTGTGGCAACGTCTCCAAGATGCTTCAAGAGACCTACCTGCAATATACTGTATATATATATATATATATATATACACTTTTTTTCCCTACTTTGTTAATACCGTCTACAGTTTAGTTACTAACATTCTTAAAAATAGCTTATTTTGTGTTTAACAGAAGAAGCTCATACAGGTTTGGAACAAGTGGAGAATGAGTAAATGATGACAGAATTTTTATTTTTGTGTGAACTATTCCTTTAATACCTCATGCAGTTTCTCAAGTAAATTGATCTGGTTTTAAGGATTTTAAATACTGGAATGTTTTAAATTTACTGCATGTTTAAATTTACTGAAAAACTAGATAAAAATACTGACCAAGTGAATATTTTTTCCCCGTGTAACCCAAATTTAACACAGTGGAATTAGATACTGTATATCCTATGCACATTGCAGATATACTTGAACGCAAGACACCTACTCATAAACCCACTAAGCTAAGGCTGATGGGACGGCAGCTGTCTCTGATCTCATCAGAACTCAGCCAGCACAAAATCAAACGATTGAACACAGCGCCACCCTGTGAAGATGCAGAGTGCTCTCATATATCAAAGAGTTCACACACTGTCAAACTCCTCCAGAAAGCAGAAGCCCTCTGGGGTAGCATAGGTCCGGTCATAAGCCCCCTGCCAGACTGGCACTGGGTAGAGAAAAGAGAGCTGAGACAGGAAGTAATGCACACTGTGATGTACCCTGCACACATGCAAAATGATTCTCTCATGGGGCTGGTCCTTCTGCTCCATATGGCCTTGCCCTTCACCAAAGTAGAGGAGAGCAAAAGAAAACAAACAAAGTGCAAGTCATGAAGAACTGGAGAGCTGCTGCTGTGCTGTGCGGCCCCCTCCCTAAGTTCTTCCGTGCAAATCTGGCAGGTTATGAAATGTTTTGTTATGTAAAAGAGAGGTTTTTTAAATAACTATCTAGGGCATGGCTGTGAGAAATTCTCAACTTTCACATTACATTAATATTCTTCTTTTTACTTTCTTTTGGATCCAAGAACCGAATGTAGAAATAGATCTTCACATGTGTACTGTGTCAGAAGACATGCTATCAACGCGGGAATGCCACCTGATCAAGATTCAAGTATCTATTCTCTGATGGGTACATAGAGGAGAAGAACAGTAATTTGCCATATTCAAGACGATGCAGAATATCATATCAGCTTATTTGTGTTTTTTATAATCTCGTTTTATAGTAAATTGGTTTGTGTGAAAGGAAACTAAAAATTACAAATCTGCCATAATTTACTCACTCTCATGACTTTCCACATAATTGTTTTCTTTCTTCGGTGAAACACAAAAGGAGATGCAGACTGTACAATCTGCTCTTTTCCATAAGGAAAGTGGATGGTAATTTATCCTGCAAAGTTCCAAAAAGTACCATAAATGTAAAGAATCACACAAATTGTGTGTAACACACTATATTTCAAAGTTTGGGGTCAGGATGATTTGTTTTATAAAGAAAATAATACTTTTAGTCAGCAAGGTTGCATTAAGTTGATCAAAAGTGACCGTAAAGATGTTTACAATGTTGCAAAATATTTCCATTTCAATTTTATTTATTTATTTTATTTTATTTTTTTTTACATTTTATTAATCAAAGAATCCTGGAAAAAAAGCCATCACGGTTTCCACAAATATATTAAGCAGCACAACTGTTTTCAACACTGATAATAATGAAATGTCAAATCAGCATTTCTGAAGGATCATGTGACACTGAAGCCTGGGGTAATGGCTGCTGAAAATTCAGCTTTGCCATCACAGGAATAAATTAAATTTTCAAATATATTCAGATATATATATATATTGTAATATTACTGTTTTTACTGTGTTTTTGGTGAGCAAAAGATGTCTTTTAAAAAAACATGTAAAAAAAAAAAATAAAAATCTTGGACCCCAATCATCCAATTTTGCTGTATGTAACAGAGCAGCTCAGACATTCTTCCTAACATCTCCTCTTGTGTTTTACAGAGAAAATAAGTATTTCTTGGGTTAGACTGACACTGGGGACTGACTGATAATCAAAGCTTCATATTTGGGTGAAATTCCTTTAATGTGTGGATACATGAACACCGTTTAAATAATTTAAAACTCTGAAGCGCAGACACCAAAATAATGACAACTTTAAGACCTTTTCATCTAAGAACACACTTTCAAAACTGCTCTACAGGAGAGGCTATTTTAATGGTTAAAGATCTGGGATGGTAACTGAAACTTTGTGGGTTTGAACCCTGTATTATTAGCTACTGTGTTTATAAGACATTTAACTCCAATCTGCACCAGAGTGACTGCTCCTGTAGTTTAAAAAAATCACTTTGGATAAATAGATATGCTAAATTAATACAAATAAATAAGTGAGAAGAACAAAACAGAAGGTGAGAGAGACTCCCCGTGAGAATACAAGGGTGAGAGAGACAACCTGCCCTTACACCGCTGTTGAGTTAAACTGATGTAGGGTGTGAGGCAGACTGCACGATCACAGAAACGCCCTGCAGACAGACTCCAGCCACTAAAAGATAATCAGAGCACAAGCAGATGCCAGCCTCTGCCCCGTCTCAGCCAGTCAA